TTGCATCTTGGGCAGAGCACTTGCCACCCAAGCTCACATTCGAACGCGTGTCCAGTTTTGTGGAAACCTTCAAATCCAATTATTCAGGTGAGCTGCTGGACGCTGACACCACGCCATCCATCCGCCTTCTGAGCCTAGTGCAAGTCGGCCCGAGCCGTGCGCTCAGAACTGCAACTCCTGAGTCAGGCCTTCTTTGACGACACACCAGAGGTGTCCGTGGAGCGCCACTCGCTGTCAGCGGGCGCATCCAGACCGTGTTTCGCAATGCCCTGGCCCTGTGCCAAGCAGCGCGCCTGTCGAACCTCAAGGCCTTCGAGAAGATAGCCGACCTGTGTCTCACACAGCCAGATCCTAACCTAGGCCTTCGTACGGTCGGGCAGCCAAACCGCGGCCGGCCTTGCCCCACAGCGGGCCTCATGCGCCGTTTTCACCATTGCATATGCCGGTGGAAGCTGCCCTGACTCCAGCCTTGCCCTATGCGCGCCGTAACGAGCCAGGCGCGTCGCCAAGGCCACACACGCCCGCCCAGGCAAGCTCATCGGAATCACCGTTGCATTCAGCCTCAAAGAGGCTCTTTTTGGACGTGTTTGCAGGTAGGCTGCGCCCCGTAACATTGGCAGGCATTAGCCTTGGCCTTGACCGCTTTGAGCCCTTTGATCTGGATGGAGACACTGCGCGCGACATCCTGGATAACGTATCTTCGAGGCCCTTCTCAGACTCTGCTGGTCAGGAATCGTGGCCCTGATAATGCTTGCCCCGCCTTGCAAGGAATATTCCAGACTCAAACTACGCCCTGGCGGGCCCAAAGCCTTGAGAACGCCGCAGCACATGAACGGGGTCCCCGGCCTTTCGCCTTCGCAGCGTAAGAAACTGCTGGATAGCAAGACCATTCACGACCGCGGCAGAGCCCTGTTCAGAGCAGTGGTCTCCAAAGGAGGCGTAGGCATTTGGGAACAACCGCCATCAGCCATGTCCTGGCTGGAAGAGGCTTACTTCCAAATGCTACGCGATCACCAATGTGCCCTGGTGTGGGTAGACGCCTGCAGGGCGTTCGGCTGCAACAGTTCGAAAATACAGGCCCGTTGGCAATCACTCATACAAGCACCGAAGCATTGCAGGCGTGAAAGAACAAGGGGTATACCTCAGCACTCTTACCCTCCTTCCCTGGCCCTGCAACTTGCCCAGGTAGGCATAGGAAGGGTCAGCAAAACAGGTTCCTTCCGACAAACACTGCCATTGCACTCCGAAATCTGCAGGACCATCACACTGGCGCCTTGCAGGCTCCCGACCTGCGACGGAGCAGGAATGCACCCTTCCGCAGACTGGTGCTGTCCCAAGCCAGAACACCCACTGCAAGCAGTCGCCAGGCCCTGGCTGCAGTGGATGCATGAGCGCAAATTGGTGCCACGAATCCTGGCGCACATCAAGAGCAGCTCTCCGGACTGCCCCCTCTCGCCGTGGCAAATGAGCCCCGAGGCAGGGCAGCCGTACAGACTCCACCTGCTGCAGGCCTTGGCCAACTCTTGGGGTGACCCAGACATGGCCCTACCCCGTACTGACAGCCGTGTCAGCCTTGACCCAGCCTTCAATGGCCGGCAAAGAAGCCAGACTCCGCCCTGCCGCCGGATCTGGAATCTGTGAGGGCAACTGGAAGATGGCCGAGGACGAACCAGAAACCGTGCAAAGCTTGCTGCGCAATGAAATTGCCAACAACTGGATTGTAGAAACCGGCCTTAGCATCGCCGAGGCTCGGAAAAAATGGCCCTTAGGCATTGCCGTAGGCAAATTAAATGTCGTTTTCGCAGAAGGGAAAGAGCCGCGCCTTGTCCTGGACAGCACCGTGTGCCAAGTGAATACCAGATGCCATCTACCAGAGCGCCTGAGCCTGCCAATGGCATCGGACCTGGCGCTGTCCACGGAGCCGGAGGACACTCCAGGCACGCCAGCATTGAATTCAAAGCCGCACACAAACAGGTGCAGGTCCGCCCTGAAGAACACTGGCGCTTTTTTGCTTCGCCAGGTGCATGGGTTGCTGGCTTGGAAGCCCCACAAAGCCTTCCTTTTTGTGGACGACCTTCTGTGTGCACTCTTCCGAGATAGCGCGCCAGATATGTTTGCCTTGGTGGTGCTTTTCTTTTGCGCCATTGCGGCGCCAATTTCATGGAAAAAGGCGCAATTCCAGGACAGCCTTGTTTGGTGCGGCTGGGAGATCAACTTCTCCCACGACACCATTCAGCTCGTGTCCGCTAAGCTGACCAAGCTGGACGCCTTGATCAAAGCACTGCTGGGGAGCCGACGGGTACTCCGCAAAACACTCGAGCAGTGCATAGGCCTGCTCATTTGGGCCACCAGCGTTGCACTGCATCTGAGATCCTGGCTAGCGCCACTATACTCGGACCTCAACAGCCCACCAGGCCTCGATGCACTCGATACCGCGTCAGCCTTCAGAGCATCCTTGAACAAGGATCTCAAAACCAGCCATAGCCTTCCCGGCTTGTGGATCACAGTGGGCTCCAAAATCTTGGAAATTTCAGGTCGCGCCATGCACTGCCCTCAGGACATCCCGCGGGTGCCCGGCACTAGCAAACCCACGCGGGTGCGCATCGCGGACCCCAATAACCCATATACTAGCCTTTCCAAGTCAAGCCAGCAATGCCTTACATGGCTGGCGTTGTGCTTTCAGCGCTCGCCCGTTCAGCCCTTGGCGCGGCCGCACCAGCTGCAAGCACTGGCTGCCACGGATGCGTGTGCCGAAGACGACTTGGTAGGGATAGAATCACATCCTCCCAAGTGGTTTGGTTTGCCGAAACCTGGAACATGCGGGACACACGGGCCGTATGGCCTTGCCTTGTCAAGCCTGGACAGCGGTGCGTCGTGTTTCGAGACGCTGGCACAGTTAGCACTACTGCAAGCAACCCACAGCCACATTGGTGGTGGGCGCTACTCGTTCAGCATGCCTTCAGGCACGGACAATTCCGCAACGGAAGCAAGCCTTAACAAGTTGTTCACGACCTCCTGGCCGTTGCAACTTTTCGTGCAGTTAACGCTCACAATGTGCTGCTGCAGCCGACGCACGTTCCAGGAAGGTGCAATGATTGGGCAGACGATCTCAGCAGAGGTCGGTTGGCCCGATTCAGCCATCGCCCTGAAAGTCGCATACGCTTCCCTGCGGGCCTAGCAATGTCAGGCCGAGGCATTCAGCTGTGTCCGATGGATGCGCCCTGGCGCCCGGAACACCTGGCAGCTGCCTCCAGCACTGCTTAGCCAGCCTTATTTGCATCCCAACATGCATTGCGACCAAATGGCCGTCTTCGCCCTGTCAGCTAGAACAACTGGCTGCGTCAGCCAGCCGCTTACACCAAGCCGCTCTGACCGAAAAAAGTGCAGACCCTGAGCAACAGGCTGCTCACAGCCGCAAGCGTGCATTGTCACGCGGACATTTGCCCTGCCAGGTACAACCCCACTCTGAAGGGGGGGTGATGAGGCCGGCGGCCCAGCTGGCTCGCTTATACCGGGGTTGCCTGAAACACTGAAGGGGGGTCAACGCACCTCCTGTTCCAGGCGCACCAGTGCCCTGGAAGCAGTGCTACTTTCAGCAATCCCGGTAAAAAGAACTGCGGCCGCTTCGGACTTGCTTTGTTCTTTTGGGGGTTCATGTTTGGGTTCAAGCTAGGAGCAGTGCAACATGTTAACGCTTAGGGTTTCTTTTCCCTTGTGTTTAGGGCATGTTGTGAATCGAACTACGCGGTGGCCGTTTTGCTCCTAGCCTTGACCCAAACCTGCGGTTTCATTTGAAACCCACCCACCCACCCTGCACTGCCTTATACAAGGCTCTGCAAGTATAGGTAGCAGACGCTCTGCACTTTCATTGGTGGTCTCCGGGCCTCTTGGTCTCCGGACCAGGTCTCCGGACCAACTCTGGTCTCCGGGCCTCGGGTCTCCGGACCTTTCGGTCTCCGGACCTTGGGGCGTGGGCACGCATGCCGCGCCCCGCAAGCACTGCATTTATATGCAAGGGCACGCATTGTCTTGCCTTTTCAAATTTCAGGGGGGTCAACGCGCCTCCTGTTCCAGGCGCACCAGTGCCCTGGAAGCAGTGCTACTTTCAGCAATCCCGGTAAAAAGAACTGCGGCCGCTTCGGACTTGCTTTGTTCTGTTGGGGGTTCATGTTTGGGTTCAAGCTAGGAGCAGTGCAACATGCCTTAACACATATGTCAAACGTTTTCGTGTTTTCTGATGGGCTGTGCTCAGGAAGAACAACCAAAACCGGAGATGTTGGTGGTGCAGACTACGAGAGCTGATAAAAAAAGGTGCATTTGTCAGTCCACGTGCTCGTTTGTTTGAAAGGGGCAAAACCCATGCAAACACACCAGGAGGCCAAATTTTGAACAACATCAGACACACACTGCAAATGTGGCGGCTTTTGCACCAGATCGATTCTCAAAACAGTCCTGAACACCTTTGCGTTCAATGTGTTTTCAGAGTAGAACCGCAATTCGATCCGGACGACTTTGCCAATGGGTCCTTTTCAGGCACAACATAGATTTCCCGGACGCAGAAGGGTGGTGATGATGGGAGTTAGGAATGTTTGGCATTCATTGATGCTGCACCCTCAGGTGCAAAACGTTCCAGACCCTCATTCCAGGCCTTCCTTGTGGACGCCCATTTGGTGAGCTCGTTTCGGCACCCGCGAAACTTTTAGCTTGGCAAACCGCGCATACGGGGTCTAAATTCCAAAATACCAGGACCCGAACAGACTGGCTTGCTCTCCTCGCAATACGTCTGCTGGTGTTGCAAGTGATATCGGCCTCGTGCAGCGCAATCCTTTCTCCTGTCAAGGACAACATTTCGGTTCAAACATACAACCAGTTTCTAAAGCAAGTGCGGCAGGTGTGAATGGAGGACCAGCCCATGTAGTGCAGAATTATCAAGCGTACAAGATCTCCATGCCAAGTGGATGCAGGTCGAGAGGCCAACAGCCACATAGCATGAACAGCAGCGCGAAGAACCGAACTCAGCATGTGAGCTCTATGCTCATTCCATGCTGCGATGCCCCGGCCGAAACCATCAGCTGGCAGTGGCATTCAACTTGCTCGGGACCTTCGAAATCGGCAGGAGACGGGATTGAACAAAGAGCAGAAGAACCACTTGAACTGATAAGATGATTTGCTAAGCTTGGATGATCCACGCATGATCGCAATTGCCAGGTCAACCTCTCCAGACCCGAAGTTGAAGGACTTCTCACAGCTCTTAGCCGAGCTCAGCAAGGACGGTACGGAAAACTGCTCCTAAAAAAGTTCCGATGGTTTTTGCCATCGCTACCACACATTCCCCCGTGCAGCGTGGCATAGGCTTGGCGGCTCTACCTGATGGTGAGAATGTGGATGCGGTGTGCGACGCCTTCGAGGATATGCAGCACTTGCTGCTGCAGGCCAGTTCTCGGAGCCGCTCAAAGCGGGTCAACGAACTCTGCGAGCTGGGGGATCTATCTGTGCTGCGGGAGCGTGCCCTTCAGGCTGGGTTTTTCCACACTTTCAAGGCTTACCCCTTAAGTTACTTGAGTCACTTCAGCCATCAGCGCTCAACCCGTTCTTTTTCTCCTGAGCTCAGCCCAGGCCTTCCGTAGCCAGGAGCGGCTGACGCTGAATGAGGCGCTGGAGCAAGGCGCCGTTCCCTGCCGTCGCCGCGCCTGCAAGCGACGGCATGACAACTCTGTGCCTGGGCTGCTGGGGCTGGGCTTTTGCAGCCCTCAATGCGCAGAGAAGGACAGCGTACCTCACATCACTCACAGACGTCAAAGCAACACGGGTGCATGTGTGAAGCGTGAAGAGACAACTTATTTCCATAGGACGGAACAAGCTCTTGTTCTGTTCTTTCGAAGGATAATTTTGGATCAACTCATAGGAAAACGAGAAGCAGCACAAGGTTTTGGAGAAGTACATCTCAGATGGCGCTTTGCAGTCAGAGGCTTTCACAGAACTGGACCTCGCATGGGTCACGCAATATGCGGTCGGGATGGTCGGCGGCATGTCCAGGCTGAGGCTCTTGATCTTTAATGAGGACATCGCCTTTCGGCTTACCTTTGAGCATTGTGCACGACGAGTAGAGGAGAGTGCAGAGGCTTCTCTGGATGGTGTTCGAAGCTATTTCCGAGCAGAGCAAGAGAGGCACGGCATGTATGCCTTGCATGTTTTTAAATGTGCTTGGTGGCTTCAAGCTGTTTGTTCTTGGTGCTCAGGGGCTTCTCAGCCTAGTTAGACCGGTTGGACCGGCAGTGTGTCGCGATCAGGCGGAACGCAGCAGCTTCTCAAAACATGTCCGACTTGCAGCTGAACTACCAGTCAGCTCATAAGCTTTTCTCAGCAGCGTGGAGTATCATTCATGCTGCAGCAGATGATGTAGGCTTGCCTTCTTCGGATTCAGAGCCGTCAGTCGTGTTCAGCTTTGCCAATGCCGGGCACATCATGCGACGTACGGCCTGCGCTGCCTGTGATCGCCAGTCCACCAAGGCGTGCCACATTATCCATTGCAAGGGCATGTGCACAGTTTATTTGGCTAACTTGTTGATCATGTACCACTTGCAGTTGCATATACCGTCCACCCATCAGCGAATAGCCTGCAGGACTACAGCACGACCCTCGACTTTCTGCGCTTTGTCGTCATTGTGCCTGAGGCAGATGCCTGGCAGATGTGCGAAGTCTACGAGCGTTTGATTGCCCGGGGCATGATCACTCTGAAGGTGTGCAGCAAACTCAATCCGCTCCTTGGTCAATCTTTCGATGTTATTTTCATTGCATTGAGACCCCAACTTGCTGAGCACTTTAGCCTTGGTTTTTCGGCTGTGCAAGCACTTCTTAGGAAGGAGTACTATGGCGAGCACTCCATGCATGTGCTTCTGAACTGCAAGCTGCCAAGCAGCTCTCACATCTTCGAAGTGCGACTCTCCTTCCGGTCGTTCCATCAGTTGGAGCGGAGTGTGAAGTGGATGTGTGACTGGCGGCAGTTGCTGAGACAACAGCATCATTTCCTGCCAGGGGAGGAAAACCACTACCAGGGGCAGGTCTGTGACAAGGCCTGACAAAATCAAAAGACAAACTAACTTAATTCCCACTGCTTGCTTGCAGTTGCTGCAGCAGTTTGCACGTCAACCAAATGAGCAAATCTTTAGCCATGCCGCTACTTCGGGTTGGTTTGATTGCAGAAGTTAGTGTGGTGGCCACGCTGAGGACGGCGAGACGCTTGCTATGGCATTAACCCCAAAGTCTGAGCTGCCTGGCAAGCCACATGGCGAGGGGCGGATGTTCTACGCGGACAGCGGGGATCTCTACAGCGGTCAGTGGCAGCAGGGCAAGAAGCACGGCGAAGGCCTGCAGCGCTATGCCACGGGCGACAGCTACCAAGGCCAATACATCAATAACAAAAAGCACGGCCAGGGCATCTACCGATATGCCGATGGAGACTGCCACGAGGGGCAATACCAAGATGGTCGGAAGCACGGCCTGGGCTTGTATTGGTATTCCGATGGCCGTGTGCTGATGTCCAACTACGAGCAGGACGTGCAAGCGGGTCCCGGCTTGGTGTGGAGCGCCGATGGCAATCAGGCCTGGCTCACGGAGTCCGGTGTCGAGGTAGCAGACCTTGATCTCCAGACCGCCGAGCAGAAAGCCAAAGACTTGGGCTTTCAACCCTTTCGGCGATAGCGTCACTCTCACGTCCTGTCACTCTGTAATTCAATGTTCCGTTCTTTGTGGAAGTGATGGTAATTGATCAGGCCGGGTTTGCCAATCAGCATTCCAAGAAACGTTCAGCATTGGACATTGTGTTTTCATGACGAGCGCTGAGTCGACACGCCTCCACAAGCAGTAGCTGCGCCTGTATCACCAGTGTTATCAATGCATTCTTTTGACAAAATGGACAGACATTGCAACTCAGATTCTTGTTGTTCGAGAGGCGCATTGACGCAATTCACATGTGCCATGGCCTGCCCTGCGGACACTGCGATATCACTGCAGCAAATGAAGTTTGGCACGCGTCAAAAACGTGAGTCCGAAAGAACAATTGAACATACTATTGATACCTCCAGGATGCATGCTCCGTTTTAGACGCCGCCATTAGGCTTTCAAGCTGAATGTGAGTTTCACCCAAGGTGGCTCTACATTATGGAATGTTTTGACGCAGGACAGGATCCTGGAAAGAAGCTGAGCAGACAATACGATACTGAAGAAGGCTGTGCATTTCAAATCTGCATCTACCGCTGCTTGAAGCTTCTTGTGTAAACAATGTCAGGGATGTCAAGGTGCACCCTGGTTTCCACTTGCTGGCAAAGCCAGCCACCAGAAGTGGAATGCATGTCATCAGGCAAACATGCTGCATTCAATGTTGCCGGTTGTACTGGACTGCTTGCTGCCGAGTCACTCGCAAGACCCAACATGGACTCATGCAATCATGCGCCTTGTTTCCTGCTTTCAGGCTGAAGCTATATATATATATATATAAATACATTGGTTCACCTACTCAAATGCAGACCTTTCATTTGGCCAATTTCGAACAACAGCAACTTCTGCATCCTCTGCACGGCTGAGCAGGTCGAAGACGAGTCTTTTGTATTCCAACGCAAGTTTGCAATTTCCGGTTCCAGCAACCGCTGTGTCCTCCCCAGCTGTCATGATGGACGTTTCACAGATGTCGGAAGAGGAGGGGAGAAGCTACTGTGTATCCCAGTTTTCAAAAGGCATGTAGCCTGCATTTGGTTTGACGTATGTCATATCGAAGTATACATTACTGCTATTGTCGCCCTGTCATTGAGACATGAAGGCCAAGCAAAAGGTCGTGAGAGTTGTGAGGGTTGTGAGGGTTGTCAGGGTCGTCAACGTGTCGGTCGTCAACGTGTCCGGCTTTGCTCATGCACGGAGTTGCAGGAGCAGCTGCAAGCCGCCATGCGGCTTTCGCTGGAAGTTTCGGGACCGGCTTCTGAAACAGCAACCTGGCTCCGGCTTTGAGCGCAAGCTGGGCATTCAGAGAGAATTGATGGACTTGCTGCTTTGTCGCTTTGCCGCTTTGCCGCTTTGCCGCTTTGCCGCTTGGCCCGAGTTCAATGCAAACTTGGTCCATAGCTTTCCAGGCGAAGCTGCGACCCAGCCAGCCCAAGCCCCGCAGCTTTGCAGGCAAAGATCCTCAGGTGGGGGCTTTTTGGCCACTGGTGAATACCCGTGTTAGACATGCGTGTTCCTGCATTTGTATTTACGGGTTGCATCTTTTGTGTTCCCAAGAGGCTGGCTTGAAAGACTTAAAAGCTGGCAGGATGTACTTCCTGCCCTGTTGCCTGCCACCGCGAAGAAGAAGCGTGGAGAACCGCGGGCTGAAGCTGGCGAAGCACAACTGGAGGAGGCCGAGGTGGCAGACACTCGAAGCATTTATTGCACCATGTAACGTGCGCAAAGCCGAGCCGAGCACGTCCGCCCAAGGACTTGCTGCAGCTGCTCTTCGGCGACAGCCCAGAGGTGGAAGTGACATTTCAGCTCCAAGCTACGCTTGTGGCATGCATCGAAGGCCTCGGATGTTGAGCGCTGGCTGAATATTGGCTTCAATTGGAGCCAGCGTGCGGGCACTGAATGGGGCCTTTGGCAGAAGCGAGGCGGTCCCTGCCAAGGCCTCAGGGCCTTGGGTTCAAGGCAATGCTCAGCGACTCAAGCTCTGAATAAACTCTCGGCACGAGCTCTTCCCGCATTCCAAGGTGGTGTTTTCGCGCCCGTACAGGCTGGAGGGGCTGCGGCAACAGAAAGTCGCTACGCGAATACACACACACACACACAAACACTGTACATGTGACTCATTGGCACAGACACTGTCATTCTGAATCCCTTTTGTTTGCCAACGTTCAAGTCAAACATCTTGAGTTGACTAGTCATCAAAGCGTATCCGATGCACATTTTTGCACAGGTGCTATATTATTCAGGGACTTTTAATCCCGCTGTTTTTTTCTTCCTTTTTTTCACTCCCCCAGGCAAGCAAGCAAGCAAGCAAGCAAGCAGGCAGGGCAAGGCAAGGCAAGGCAAGGCAAGGCAAGGCAAGGCAAGGCAAGCAAGCAAGCAAGCAAGCAAGCAAACACAAAACCACCTACCCTAGACATGCCCCGACCCACCTCAGACATACCTTAAACCCACCCCAAACCTACGCCAAGCCCACGCTAAACCAAGCCTAAACCCACCTTTAACCCACCCTGGCCTCACCCAGCAAACGTGCCTTTAACCCTAAATCCGATCCGAAACCTCACTCAACCCGGCTGTATCCTCAACTCAACCCAAACTCCATTTGAACCCACGCTAGACCAATCCTGAACCGACCCATCCTAAAGCAGCCGCAAATCCACCCTAGACCAGCCTTAAGCCAACCCTGAACCTACCCCTAAACCTAGCTACACACCCGCACGCCACCCTAAACCCACAACCCTGAACCCCTAAACCCACCCTAAACATCCCTACATCACCCCAAACCCAACGTAAACCAACCCTGAACGGACCACTAAGCCCACCCTGAACCAACCCCCAACGCACCCTGAACCTAAAACCAAAACCCACCCTAAACCAACCCTGAACACCCCAAACCACCCTACAAGAGAGCCTAGATGGTTGTCACTTCTTCAGCAGCTGCTTTCATTCTCCTGTCCTGCTTCACCAAGGCACCTGGCGATTCATGCACCAAGGAAGTCCTGGATGACGGTAGCCCCGAACTCGCCCGACCTACCCTAAACCCATCCCAAACTTCTACCCTAAACCTGCCCTAAACCAATAACTTGCCCACCCCAAACCCGTGCTCAACCTACCAACTAAATCCATACCGCAAGCCTACCTTGAACCGACCTTGAACCCCGTAAACCCTAAACCTAACCAACACTGAACCCAACCCTAAACTACCCGAACCGAACTAAACCCACCTTCAACCCACCTTATCCTCAACTAAACCAACCTTGCGCTAACCCAAGCTCCATCTAACCCTCTACCCTAAACCAACCTAAGGCAACCCTGAACCCCCAAACCCCACCCTAAACCCACCCCAAGCCCACCCCAAACCCCAACCACCCTAAACCCCAAAGACCCACCTTAAACCATTCCAAAGAAAACAAATTCCCAAAAGCGCTGGAAACAATCCCCCCAAAAAGGTCGGCCTGTTTGCGCCAGTGCTACTTCAGGCTTTCATTGTCAAGCAGCTGCTCTTTAGCTCAGAGGGTGATGTGCCTGACACCCGCCGGAAGGCCAGGCTTGAGTCGAACAGGCGTTTTGGAGCAACTCTAAGCAGTCTTGGCGTTTGGATGCTTGCAGATGATTTAAAAAGCAGAGTCGAAACAGATGTGCTATGAAGTCTTGAGTCTAGCTTCTGGAAATCGGACTTGGAAGCAGAGTGGCGGAGGGAAGTGAGACTATTCAAGCGCCCAGTGAGATGAGGAGCAGCCACTGGGCAGCGCCGGAGCCGACGATGAGGACAGGAGGATAAGCGATCAGCCTTCCAGAAAAGATCGAGGACCCCTTTCATGTCAGATCTAATCCATGATCCAGCAGCTTAGCGGAATGGACCGTGCAGACGGACGACGCGTATGTCGCGTATGGCTGACACAGGACACCCGTGCGGCTGTTCTGGCACATGCCCTGGCATGCGTTTTGTTTCATAGCACTCCGAGCTCATCCTACATCATTTGCCAGGCGGGAGGGGTCAAGCTGGCCACAGTGAGGTAGGAAGGTTGTGAAGTGCAAGGGCAGTACGTGTGCAATACTACTCTAGGTCTTGCCGCATTTGCAAGCTCACCCACAATCCATCTCCGTTGCTCTTTCAAACCTACAAGCCAGCTAGGCATCATGTGATCTTGTCCCAGTTGATAATCCTGGCGGATCAACAGGTTTTTTTCTATCCCGGGTCAACATGGACACACACACAGACACACACAGACACACACAGACACACACACACAGACACACACACAGACACACACAGACACACACAGACACACACACACACAGACACACACACACACAGACCCAAACACACAGACACACACACACACAGACACACACAGACAGACACACACACACACAGAGACACAAACAGAGACACACAGACACACACACACAGACAGACACACACAGACAGACACACACAGACACAGACACACACAGACACACACAGATACACACAGACACACACAGACACACAGACACACACACACACAGACAGACACACACACACAGACACACACACACAGACACACACACACACACACACAGACACACACAGACACACACAGACAC